GAGCCAAGGGCGGGAGGGGGGAGGAAGCGGAAGTGGAGGGGCGTGTCTTTCCTCGCCTCTCCTCTTCCGGCGTCATTCTGCAGGCGTTCCCTGAGAGTGAGGAGCGGATCACCCTCTCCCTCCCTCCCTCCCTTCCTCCCTCCATCCCTGCCTTGCTTGGAGGCGATGGCTGGGCTTCCTGGGGGAGTCCTTCCCTCCCTTCTCTCCTTTCCCCGCCTTGTGCCTCCTTCTGTGGGTGTTCCTCGGGGCTGGAGGCGAGGCCTGTGAGCCGGGGCCTGTCCTGGCCTAGCCTGCCTGTCCTCCTCCTCCCTGGCTGCCTTCTTTCTTTCTTCCTCCCCCTCGAGGGCCATGAGGCTGCGCATCTACAAGCGCAAAGTGCTGGCCTTGCTCCTGGCCTTGGGTGCTGCCGCCGCCTGTGCCTTGACACTGTGGGGAAGCGGAGGAGGAAGCAGGCCTGAGGGAGGAGAGGCCTTCACCCCGCACTCGCCTTCTTTTCCTGGCACTAGGGGCCTTCTCCTTCCTCCTCCGCTTCCTCATTTGTTTCCCCGCAACGCTTCCGCCTTCCCGCCACCACCGCCTTCGAAGCCGCCCAGAGAGGAAGAGGACGAAGACGAGGACGGCCTGTCTTTGCTCTCCGGACCCAACGCCACGCTCCGCCTCCGCTCTTTAATCTACCGCCTCAACTTCGACCAGCCCTTGCGCAACGCCCACAAGTGGAGGCCGCTCTCCGCGGATCATGGAAACGACGCCGCGGATACGGGGGCGCCTTGGGTGGCGCTGGTGGTGCAGGTGCATTCCCGCCCGGAGCATTTGTCCCTATTGCTGGGCTCCCTCCGCCAGGCAAAGGGCGTCGAGCGGGTGCTGCTGGTGCTCAGCCACGACGTCTGGAGCCCCGAGCTGAACGCGCTGGCCTCCGCCGTGGACTTCTGCGCCGTCCTGCAGATCTTCTTCCCTTTCAGTTTGCAGCTCTACCCGGAGGAGTTCCCGGGCCCCGACCCACGGGACTGTCCCCGCGACTTAGGGCGAGCGGCCGCCCTGCAGCGAGGCTGCCTCAACGCCCGCTTCCCGGACGCCTTCGGGCACTACCGCGAAGCCGCCTTCGCCCAGGCCAAGCACCACTGGTGGTGGAAGCTGCACTTCGCCTGGGAGAGGCTGCGCGCCTTGCGGGGACTGCCCGAGCCCGGCTTGCTGCTCTTCTTGGAGGAGGACCACTTCCTGGCTCCGGACGCCCTGCATGTCCTGCGCCGCCTCTGGGACCTGCGCCAGCGCGAGTGCCCCGAGTGCCAGGTCCTCTCCTTGGGGTCCTACGCCGCCGTCCGCGCGGACGATGCCGACTTCGCCGCCAAGGCCCGGGCGGCCGAACTCAAGACCTGGAAGTCCACCGAGCACAACATGGGCCTGGCCTTCCCCCGAGAGACCTACCGGCAGCTGGCGGCTTGCTCTGAGGCCTTCTGCGGCTACGACGACTACAACTGGGACTGGACCCTGCAGCACCTGACCGTGGGCTGCCTGCCCCGCTTCTGGAAGGTGCTGCTGCCCCAAGTGCCGCGCGTCTTCCACACCGGAGGGGACTGCGGGATGCACCACTCCAAGAAGAAGGACAAGGCCGCCGCAGACAAGGCCTCCGCCGCCTGCCACCCGGCCGCACAGATCCGCAAAGTGGAGGCCCTCCTGGCCGCCCACCGGGACTCCCTCTTCCCGGAGGCCATGACCCTCAGCAAGCGCTTCCCGCTGGCTCCGCTCAGCCCCCACGTCAAGAATGGCGGCTGGGGGGACATCCGTGACCACGAACTCTGCAAGAGTTACCAGCGGCTGCAGTGAGGAAAGAGATAGAGAGGGTCTCTGCCACCACCGACGAGGGAGAAGGCCAGGCCTGTAAGAATGATAAGACCAAGACCAGGCCTTGTTATCATTGTTACGGTGGAAGCAGTCATTAAAAAAGTGAGAGAAAGGGGAAAGCGTGTTCGGGTCTTCTCCTTTGCAGGAAGGGCAAAAGGGGTTGCGCGGTGACAGAATGGGTGTGTAAAAAGGCCAAAACAGTAAACATGCCATAAGAGAAGGCGGAAAGGCATGTGCAGGTCTTCTCTTTTGCAGGAATGGCCAATGGGGTTGCGCGGAGACTTTGTGTATGTTCAAAAAGGCCAAAACTAAACATGCCTTGAGAGAAGAGGGAAAGGAGTGTTTGGGTCTTCTCTTTTGCAAGGTTGCAGAGAGATGTAATGTATGGGCAAAAAGGCCGAAAAAGTAAACATGCCTTGAAAAAAGGGGGAAAGGCATGTTTGGGTTTTCTCTTTTGCAAGAATGGCAAAAGGGGTTGTGCAGAGACAGAATGTATGTGCAAAAAGGCCAAAACAGTAAACATGCCTTGAGAGAAGGGGGAAAGGCATGCTCGGGTCTTCTCCTTTGCAGGAATGGTAAAAGGGATGGCATGGAAACATGTATGTACCCAAAGGCCAAAACAGTAAACATGCCTTGAGAGAAGGGCATATTCAGGTCTTCTCCTTTGCAGGAAGGGCAAAAGGGGTTGCATGGAGACAGAATGGGTGTGTAAAAAAGCCAAAACAGTAAACATGCCTTGAGAAAAGGGGGAAAGGCGTGTTTGGGTCTTCTCTTTTGCAAGAATGGCCAAAGGGGTTGTGCAGAGACAGAATGTATGTGCAAAAAGGCCAAAACAGTAAACATGCCTTGAGAGAAGGGGGGAAAGGCATGTTCGGGTCTTCTCCTTTGCAGGAATGGCAAAAGGGATTGCACAGAAACATGTATGTACCCAAAGGCCAAAACTTAAAAACATGCCTTGAGAAAATGGGGAAAGGCATATTTGGGTCTTCATATTTGCAGGAATGGCCAAAGGGGTTGTGTTGGAGACAGAATGTGTGTGCAAAAAGGCCAAAACAGTAAACATGCCTTCTTCGCCAGAGATTTCTTACCTTGTCTTTTTTCAGAGTGCTCAAAACTCTTTCCAGACAAGCTCTTTTCTAAGTGAAGGATTTAAAAAAGAGGAGGGAAATGTGCTTTGGTTTTCTCTGTGTTTTAAAAAGTGTAAATTACGAAAAAGAGGTTATTCAGTGACAGAAGGTGCGGGGCAAGGCTATATGCTTTGTTTACTTGGAGGTTCTCACCTTTTTATGGGGTGCTCCCAACTCTTTCCAGACCTCTTTTCTAAGCGAAGGATTCAGAAAAGCACAAAATGTGTTTTGAAGCTCTCCTTTTTGTGAGGAAAAGTGGGATTCGCAAAATCAGAACGTGGGGAAACATTAAAACTAGTAAAAACTACTGGACAAAAAACTGAAATGGTTTTCATCTGGGTTTCTTCATATGAGGTGCTCTTGACACTGATTTTTTCTTTTTTAAGGACTGCAAGAAAGAGGAGGAAGGTATGTTTGGGTTTTCTCATTTTCATGAGGAATCATGAAGCCAGAATAGGCGTGGGCCAACTTGGGCCTTCTGTCCAGGTGTTTTGGACTTCAACTCCCACCATTCCTAATGGTCTCAGGCCCCTTTGTTTTCCTCCTCAGCCGCTTAAGCGGCTGAGGAGGAAAACAAAAGGGCCTGAGACCATTAGGAATGGTGGGAGTTGAAGTCCAAAACACCTGGACGGAAGGCCCAAGTTTGCCCACGTCTGACCTAGAAGGTGAGGAAAATTAAATAGTGCTTTGTTTGATGGGCAAATAGTGGATGGTTTTTCTCTGGGCTTCTTTGTGAGGCCTCCACAACACGTTCAGGCAAAAGGATTTCTCATTTGTTTTCTTTAAGGGATGGTCTCAAATAAAAGAAGGTGTGTTTTGGTTTTCTCCTTTTTACGAGGAAAGGTGGAGAGAGTCAATACTGCTCGGCACAGAACGGAAGGCTTTTACCTGGACCTTTCTCTGAGGTGTTCCCAACACAAAGCCTGGCTTTCCACCGGCTTTAAAAAGACACCTTCCTCTTTGATCTCGTTCTGGTTTGCTTGAAATTCGGCATTTTAATATACCCTCGGAAGCAGTGTTCTCTTTGTGTTTACTGTAGAAATTTGCAACCTTTTTTTTTTGGGAAGCGGGAGGGGAAACAGATTTGCCAAAACAATAAAATAAAATCATGTTTTTTTGGTAATACAAACTACAAGTTCCTGGTTTGGAATAATCTTATTTTATTTCAAGTTATTGCAAACTTAAAAGATTTGTATAAAAACACAGAACATGTTGTAAAGAGAACAGTGTGGAGGAAGAACTATTTCAGGAATCGAATCAAAAAAATAACTGTGCAACTACCGGCCTCCTGTTACTGAAACCATTCTCAGCTTTCAGGTCTGGCGGCTCTGTTTAGCAAACTGTTTAAAAAGAGGTTTGGGTGAGGAAGGAAGAGAGGGAAGGAGAAATAAGGCCCTCGGGCAATATATAAGCAACAGGATTGTCTAGGAGAGAGAATGAGTTGTGAGGCTGGGTTGTTGTAGGTTTTTTCGGGCTGTATGGCCATGGTCTAGACTAGAGGCATTCTCTCCTGACGTTTCACCTGCATCTATGGCAAGCATCCTCAGAGGTAGTGAGGTCTGAGGATGCTTGCCATAGATGCAGGCGAAACGTCAGGAGAGAATGCCTCTAGATCATGGCCATATAGCCCGAAAAAACCTACAACAACCCAGTGATTCCGGCCATGAAAGCCTTCGACAATACATAGTTGTGAGGCTGTTCTAGTGACAGAATCAGAACTGGTTTTTGGGAGACTGAACTAAGCCATCTGTCCCATTTTTAAAGCACCATCCATTGGGCTGTTCTGCGTAAAGCTTGTGCAAAACAAATGAGTGTTTGTCGAAGGCTGTCATGGCCTGAATCACTGGGTTGCTGTGAATTTTCCAGGCTGTCTGGCTGTGTCCCAGAAGCATTCTCACCTGACGTTTTGTCTGCATCTACGGCAGGCATCCTCAGAGGCTGTGAGACTTTGCAACTTTGCAGATGACTGCCATAGATGCAGGCGAGACGTCAGGAGAAAATGCTTCTGGAACATGGCCAGACAGCCCAGAAAACTCATAGCAACCCTATCAGAAAATGAACTCTGTATCCCAGGCCTTGATCTGCTGATACAGAAATGTATTTCCTATATTTCCTAAGGCAGAAGAGTGTGTGTGTGAGGTCCTGTGGAGTATCTCTGTCTCAGTCTTGGACAAGTTAAGGGCGATAGCCTTCTGTCTAACAGGGTTAAGGAATATAGAGTGGCCTTGGGAAGGAGCCCGAAGTGAGGACACTTGTCTGTCTTGTCTGTTGAAATCACTGAGAGGATGCTTCCTTTGACAAAATGGGCCCATTCTAGCCAAAGTGCTGTTGGGACTCATTTGGACCACAGGAGGGGAGGAAAATGAATGGAATGGCTTAGGCCAGGCATGGGCAAACTTGAGCCCTCGAGGTGTTTTGGACTCCCAACTTTTTTTAATCTGTTTTTACCCAGTTTTCTTTTATCCATTACATGTAGCTCGCCCATGTTATTGTGATTGTGTTTATTGTAATTTTATATTGCTATGTTGTCTTTTGTTTTATGTAATTGCGTTATTGTTTATTATTTGCGTTTTCGGTTCTGTTTTATGTAATTGTTGTTTTGGGCTTGGCCTCATGTAAGCCGCACCGAGCCCCCATTGGGGAGATGGTGTGGGTTACAAATAAAGTTTATTATTTTTATTATAACGCCCACAATTCCCAACAGCCTTTGCATAAGCAGCTGAGAGGGAAAAGGAAAGGGTCTGAGGCTGTTAGGAATTGTGGGAGTTGGAGTCCAAAACACCTTGAGGTATAGCTTTGAAGTTTGAGAAGTGGATTGCCTGGCTCTTTGGAGGGCCAGGAAGGAAGATTCTGCATTCAAACATACTAGCGGTTCTGATTCCTCTGTGCTAGATTTCAGAATGACAGGTGTTTCCCTTTTGCAAAAAAAAAAAAAAAAGAGTAGAAAAGGGGAAACTATCTCGTAGCACCTTTCATTGTCGTGTATATCATCCATCAGAGCTCAACAAAGTGTGTCACTGTGAAGATGCCACAGGACGCTCTCCCCTCTTTCTGTTTGGGCCATTCTTGGGCAGCTAGCCGCAGGGATTAGATTGGAAAATAAGTTTTAAGGTTGAGAGGTGCCCATTCAAAGAGGTGAAAAGGTTGCAAACCATTTAGATTCCTGGCAGGAGACCCTCCACCTAGCCTTTCCAATATGTGCCAAAATCTGATGCCATTTCACTCATGCTTGCTTTGAAAGCAGAAGATTTGTGTTTGGTATGAGAGAGACGGGCCGCCCAAAATGGGTCACCTGGGTGTCCTGGGGCCTGAGAAAGGTCTGTATTTTTCTCATAAGAGTAGGATCACCAATATCAAAGTGACCAACATCTGATGCACATAAGAAAGGAAGGGTCCATTTAGGCAGGTAACAATACCTGGCTTGGTATTGGTACATTATTATACCTTTGGGATGTTTAAACAACCAGGTAAAGGTACATGTGATGGGGAATGTGTGGCCATCCAGCTGCTGCTAGACCCAGGCATGGGAAACTTTGGACCTCTGGGTGTTTTGGACTTCAACTCCCACCATTCCTAACAGCCTCAGGCCCCTTCCTTTTGCCCCTCAGCCACTTAAGCGGCTGAGAGGCAAAAGGAAAGGGCCTGAGGCTGTTAGGAATGGTGGGAGTTGAAGTCCAAAACACTTGGAGGGAAGGTCCAAATTTGCTTATGAGTGTGCTAGACTGTACCTACAATGAGCCCAACCGTAGACAGGCAAAGGGAAGAGTTGAAAGGAACTGTAGTTTAGCAAAATCTGGAGAATCTACCTGTTCTATGACCAGATTTCACACCTGAAAAATGGGATGAGGCTTTGAAAAGGAGTGTTTAGATGCTCTTTGCCATTTAGTTGAAGAGAACTGGCCAAGATGGAGGGAAAGTGGAAGGAAAGGCATCACATGCACAACCTTTACGAATGTAAACAAGCTTTGCATGAGATCCCACAACCTTCTAAAACACTTCAAACTGAATTCCTGGCCTAACAAGGTAGGAACGAAGGAGCAGCCGCAAGGGGAAGGTTCAGAATAATAATCTGAGCGAAGACCTGGGTGTTGCTCTCCAGCTAGACCACATTCAGGTCAAAACAAGTCCACTTGAACTAAAGGAGATGCCCCTTCTGAGATTCTCTAAATCCTTGGAACAGAATTACATGTGAATGGGAGACTGGGGATTGGGTCCCTGCCAAAGCTTAGCAGGGCAAAATCAATCCATTGTCGAAGGCTTTCGTGGCCGGAATCATTGGGTTGTTGTAGGGTTTTTTTTTGGGCTATATGGCCATGTTCTAGAGGCATTCTCTCCTGACGCTTCGCCTGCATCTATGGCAAGCATCCTCAGAGGTAGCGAGGTCTGTTGGAACTAAGAAAAAGGGTTTATATACCTGTGGAATGACCAGGGTGGGACAAAGGACTCTTGTCTGCTGGAGCCAGGTGTGATGAACTGAACCACCTCAACTGACCTCACTACCTCTGAGGATGCTTGCCATAGATGCAGGCAAAACGTCAGGAAAGAATGCCTCTAGACCATGGCCATATAGCCCGAAAAAACCTACAACAATCCAAAATCAATCCAGTTCGTACAACAATGCATTCTGGAAGGTGATGGGGCAGTGTGTGGCATGTTGGCTGATGTACTGCACACTCCCGTCCTGCATGTTGGTCTCCTTGATCACGGCGGGTGGCAGGCTGTCTTCTCCCCTGTGTTTGTCTTCCGCAGCTTTTGGGCGCCTTTCTTCCTCCTCCCCTCCTGCCTGGGCCGGTCTCTCTGAACTGGGCTGGGATTGTGGTGCGGACAGGGCTCTTTTGCTCATCAGGGAAGCACGTTCTGACTCATGAGGAATTGCTGATGGACTGGGGTCATGGCTGGGTTCCTTGCCAACTTGCCCCGTTGTTGCAAAGGTTGAAAGCGAGCCAGAAGCCCTCTGAGATTCTACGAGGCCCTTTTCTGCATCGGGTGGAAGTTTGCAGCCATTGCCTCCTTCGCCGCTTTCTGCCCTGGGTCCCTTGGCCTGCAAAGAGAGAGAGGAAGGGAAGTTACTTCTGTAGAGCAAAGGTGGAAAAGTACTGCTGAATGCACTATCAGCTACCAAACAGGAACAACCTGGGTTTCCTCCCCAGCAGGTCTCTGTGCTCATGCCGTGCGGGCGAGTTTCCTGTAAACAGAGTCGGTTGGTGGGGATTTCACAAGACTCTCTGCACAGTTCACAGGGACTGGCTTTGAGGCACGGCTGCCCCACAGCCCCCAAGGAGGAGGACAGAGTTGGGAAAGACCTCCCCAAGGGACACCCAGCCCAATGCCATCCTGCCAGGCAAGAAACCACCATCCAAGCCCTCCCAACAGAGAGCCTATAGCAGTGTTTCTCAAACTGGGGGTCGGGATCCCTGGGGGGGGGGGTCGCAAAGGGGTTCCAAAGGGGTCGCCAAAGACCACCAGGAAACACAACATTTTCTGTTGGTCATGGGGGTTCTGTGTGGGAAGTTTGGCCCAATTTTATCATTGGTAAGGTTCAGTATTTATTGATTGATTGATTGCACTTCTACCCCGCCCTTCTCAACCCCCGAGGGGGGACTCAGGGCGGCTTACAAAAAGGCACAATTCGATGCCGGCACAACAACAAGGTAAAAAATAAAACATATAAACAGTAATTAAAACAATCCATTATACATCACAATCCCTAAAAACAATCTAGTGCTCAACGTTTACCAGCTCATAGTCCGTAAATTCAAATTCCACCTTGTCCAATCCATCAATTCTAGTCGTCGCTTGTCTATCCGCCAGATTACCCAAAGGCCTGGTCCCAAATCCATGTTTTTAATTTCCTTCTAAAGGAGAGGAGGGATGTCGATGACCTAATTTCCCTGGGGAGTGAGTTCCACAGGTTAGGGGCCACCACCGAGAAGGCCCTGCTCCTCGTCCCCATAGAGGTGGGGCCGACAGCAGTGCCTCCCCAGAAGATCTTAAACTCCAAGGCAGGATGTAGAAGGAGATGCGTTCGGACAGATACGTGTCTCCTTCTACGCTTTAACTCTAAATCCCAGCAACTACAACTCCCAAATGCCAAGGTCTATTTTCTCCAAACTCCACCAATGTTCAAATTTGGGCATATTGCGTTTCTGTACCAAATTTGGTTCAGATCCATCATTGTTTGAGCCCACAGTGCTCTCTGGATGTAGGTGAACTACAACTCCAAAACTCAAGGTCAGTGCCCACCAATGCCTTCCTGTATTTTCTGTTGGTCATGGGAGTTCTGAGTACCAAGTTTGGCCCAATTACATCACTGGTAAAAGTTCAGAATGCTCTTTGATTGTAGGCGAACTATAAATCCCAGCAACTTCAACTCCCAAATGAGAAAATTACACCCCCCACAACCCCACTACTATTCAAATTTGAGCGTATCGGGTATTTGTGCCAAATTTGGTCCAGTGAATGAAAATACATCATATCAGATATTTACATTACAATTCCTAAGAGTAGCAAAATGACAGTTATGAAGTAGCAACGAAAATAATTTTATGGTTGGGGGGTCACCAGAACATGAGGACCTGGATTAAGGGGTCGCTGCATTAGGAAGGTTGAGAACTACTGGCCTATAGGTTACTGTAAGTTTCCCAGGCTGTATGGCCATGTTCCAGAAGCATTCTCTCCTGACAATTCGCCCACATCTATAGCAGGCATCCTCAGAGGTTGTGAGGTCTGTTGGAAACTAGGCAGGTTGGGTTTATATATCTGTGGAATAATGTCCATGGAGGGAGAGAGAACTCTTGTCTGTTGGAGGCAAGTGTGAATATTGAAGTTGGCCAGCTTGATTAACATTTAATGGCCTTGCAGCTTCAAAGCCTGGCTGATTGCTGCCTGGGGAATTTATTTATTTATTTATTGCTATATTTGTATACCACCCTTATCAGCCCTCAGGCAACTCAGGGCTGTTAACAGAGGCAGTGATTCCATGCCCAATAACATCATAAAACATTAATACATAGTATAAAACCAAACAAAAGTAATTAAAAATGTAAGACATTTGCATCTCCTAATTAAAAACACTAAGTTTCTATGTCTTACATTGCGTTTTCAAACGCTTGCTCAAACAGCCAGGTCTTGACTCTTTTCCGGAAGGTTAAGAGGGAGGGGGCCGATCTAATGTCCCTAGGAAGGGTGTTCCATAGCCGAGGGCCAACATCGAGAAGGCCCTGTCTCTCGTCCCCACCACATATTTGTGACGCAGGTGGGATCGAGAGCAGGGACTCTCCGGATGATCTTGAAAGTCTGGAATGTTGGTGGGCAGGAAAAGAGATTGAAAGATGGACTCAAAGCAAACCTTAAAAACTCTGGCATAGACACTGAGAACTGGGAAGCCCTGGCCCTTGAGCGCTCCAGCTGGAGGTCAGCTGTGACCAGCAGTGCTGCAGAATTTGAAGAGGCACGGATGGAGGGCAAAAGAGAGAAATGTGCCAAAAGGAAGGCACATCAAGCCAACCCTGACCGGGACCACCTTCCACCTGGAAACCGATGCCCTCACTGCGGGAGAAGATGCAGGTCAAGAATAGGGCTCCACAGTCACCTACGGACCTACCGCCAGGACACTACACTTGGAGGACCATCATCCTTGGACTACAGGGGATCACCTAAGTAAGTAAGTAAGGATGAAGAGGAAGCATTGGGGAGAATCACCTTCTGGGTTTGTTTTCAACCTGTGGGTCCCCAGGTGTTTTGGCCTACAACTCCCAGAAATCTCAGCCAGTTTACTAGCTGTTAGGATTTCTGGGAGTTGAAGGCCAAAACATCTGGGGACCCACAGGTTGAGAACCACTGCCTTAACCAATTGTGCCCTGCCTTCATTGCTTGTGTGGTTCTGTGGCTTCTTCCCACCTGCAGAGTCGGTGAGGGCGGGTTTAAAGTCTGACCGCAGGCCACCTGCGCTGCTTGTAAACCTCAGGCTGGCTCTGTTTACACGGCCAGGGAAAGCCGTGCCTCTGGGGCAGAACATCAAGGAATGGAAGAAGAGCTGGCAGAATAACCGGGAAATAATCATTATGTGCTCTCCTTTGGCCTCGTTCAAATGAAAGGCCAGCCAGGGAACGACACATGCTGGCTTGGAGGCTGAGCTGGATCCAAATATGAGAGACTGACCAACTGGACGGTGTCCAGGGAAAGGCAGCCAACATGGTCAAAGGTTTGGAAGCCATGAATCATAGAACCCAAGAGTTGGAAGAGACCTCGTGGGCCATCCAGTCCAACCCCATTCTGCCAAGAAGCAGGAATATTGCATTCAAAGCACCCCTGACAGATGGCCATCCAGCGTCTGTTTAAAAGCTTCCAACGAAGGAGCCTCCACCACACTCCGGGGCAGAGAGTTCCACTGCTGAACGGCTCTCACAGTCAGGAAGTCCTTGCTCATGTTCAGATGGAATCTCCTTTCTTGTAGTTTGAAGCCATTGTTCCTTTGTGACCTAGTCTCCAGGGCAGCAGAAAACAAGCATGCTCCCTCCTCCCTGTGGCTTCCTCTCACATATTTATACATGGCTATCGTATCTCCTCTCAGCCTTCTCTTCTTCAGGCTAAACATGCCCAGCTCCTTAAGCCGCTCCTCATAGGGCTTGTTTTTCAGACCCTTGATCATTTTAGTCGCCCTCCTCTATCATATCTATCTACGTTGGGTTGCTTTTGAAGACTGTTCAGAAGCCATTGTTCCACGTCCTAGTCTCCAGAGCAGCAGTAAACAAGCTTCACAAAACATTTAATTCATGCTGCACTACTTGTATGAGCCAGCCATTACTTCAAAACCCACAGACTTAATCTTATCTCAGAGCAACCTCGAGGATCACTTTGATAAGCAAGCCAATGACTCAAATCAAGAAATAGTTTTCTGAGATCTACAGAAAGACTTGCAGGAACACCTGAGCAAGCAAGAGTCCAAAAGTGGCAGGCTCAAACTCAGCACTTCAGTCAGTGGCTGAGACCGGGCGAGAAACTCCCTCCTGGGCACACAGAAGAGTGAAAGGCGCTAAACAGGCTGCACTCTACACTCAGGTGGAATCTCCTTTCTTTTCGCTTGAAGCCATTGCTCCATTGCGTCCTAGTCTCCAGGGCAGCAGAAAACAAGCTTGCTCCCTCCTCCCTGTGGCTTCCTCTCAAGTATTTATACATGGCTATCATCATGTCTCCTCTCAGCCTTCTCGTCTTCATGCTATACATGCCCAGCTCTTTAAGCCGCTCCTCATAGGGCTTGTTCTCCAGACCCTTGATCCTTTTAGTCGCCCTCCTCTGGACACATTCTCTCTTCAATTGTGGTGCCCAGAATTGGACACAATATTCCAGGTAAAGTGGGCTAACCAAGGCAGAATAGAGCATGGGGAGCATGACTTCCCTAGATCCAGGCACTAGACTCCTCTTGATGCAGGCCAAAATCCCATTGGCTTTTTTTGCCGCCACATCACATTGTTGGCTCATGTTTAACGTGTTGTCCACAAGGACTCCAAGATCTTTTTCACATGTCCTGCTCTCGAGCCAGGCCTCGTCCCCCATTCTGTATCTTTGCATTTTGTTTTTCTTGCCAAAGTGGAGTATCTTGCATTTGTCACTGCTGAACTTCATTTTGTTAGTTTTGGCCCATCATCTCTCTAATCTCTCAAGATCGTTTTGAATCCTGCTCCTGTCCTCTGGAGTCTTGCCAGAAGGTCATGGGGGACCTTGTCATAAGCCTTACTGAAGTGCAGATACGCTACATCCATGGCATTCCCCGCATCTACCCAGCTTGTAACTTCTCTGGTGCGGGGAATGCCGTGGATGTAGCGTATCTGCACTTCAGTAAGGCTTATGACAAGGTTCCCTGCATCTACCCAGCTTGTAACCTCTCTGGTGGAGCCCCCGGTGGCGCAGTGGGTTAAACCCCTGTGCCGGCAGGACTGAAGACCGACAGGCCGCAGGTTCAAATCCAGGGAGAGGCAGATGAGCTCCCTCTATCAGCTCCAGCTCCCCATACGGGGACATGAGAGAAGCCTCCCACAAGGATGATAAAAACAGCAAATCATCTGGGCGTCCCCTGGGCAACGTCCTTGCAGACGGCCAATTCTCTCACACTAGAAGCGACTTGCACTTTCTTAAGTCGCTCCTGACACGACCAAAAAAAAAACTTCTTTGGTGATCCCAGAATGTAACTTCATAGTAAGTCTAGCCTTAGCAGAAAAAAAAAAAGATACCACGCAGGGAGAAAGTACAAATCTGGAGCTTGTGAGCATTTGAAAACCAATTCAATATTCAAAGGCCAACGCCTGTGACACCTGAAGCACTATTTTAATGTGTCCGTGCAAAATGAGAATCACTCCATGGAGCCTGGGAGCAGAGCTGGCCTCCAGACAGAGATGCATTCCCTGACTTGAGCATTCTTGCTGAACGCAGCTCCTGTATTGGCTGCCCTCCCCTTGTCAGGGAGCAAAGTCCAGTTCAGTAGCCATGAGCTTCTGTGGCTCGGCTGAAGATAAAAGCTGCCGGAGACACGTGAGCCACCAATGATGCGCAAGTGTAGCAGCCGGTGCCCCAAGGGCAGGGTTCCACCCACTCTCTTTCAGGCAGGAATAACTAGCAAATTGTATAAGATAATAATTGATATTAAGGGGGGAAAAAAAGGATGTAACATTAAGAGAGATATGGGAGGAAGACCTAGGGATTAGAATAAAAGAAGCGGATTGGGTACAATTATGGGATCAAAGATATTTAAAGAACTTATCAATACGTGTTAAAGAAAATTATTACAAATTGGTTTGGAAATGGTACTTAACACCAGTAAAGATTGCAAATATTAATAAGAATTCCACAAAAAATGGTTGGAGAGGTTGCCAGGAGGTGGGTACATATATACATATGTGGTGGCAATGTAAATATGTAAATGAATTTTGGGGGAAGGTATTTGGAGAGATAGAAACTATAATGGATATGAAGATAGGGAAAAGTGCAAGTATTGCATTGTTGTCACTATATAGTGTTAAGAAATTGAAAAAAAAAACCCAGAAAGATGCAATAGATAACATGTTAACTGCAGCAAGATTACTGATAGCGAAGAATTGGAAAGGTAAAATAAATATATTAATTGTAGAATGGTATAAAGAATTATGGAAAATAGCAATAAATGATAAATTGACATGTAGGTTAAGAGTCAGGAAAGGGGTATGGAAGAAAAATGATTTTGATAAAGTTTTGGGGGAAATTTATTGAGAATGGCTTAAAAGAAGTAGACAGGAAATTACCTCCACAAGAAGAAATGGTACTTTGGAAAGAGAATGCAAATTGAAGTGGCTCGGAAGGGGGGGGGGGGCACAGAGGTGTGTGTGTGGGGGGGAAGTATACAAGATATATATACACTTTGGTTGATGTAGTGAATTGAGGATGGAATATAAGATTATTGAAGGTATTGATGTATTCTAAGAAAACCAATAAAAATATTTGAAAAAAAAAATAACATTAAGGCTAAAGCCCAGAGTAGATTCCCCTGTCTCTGCTGCTCCCATAAAGGCTACTGTGACAGGAACCAGGGGCCCAACACATAGCACCATAACTTCCAAAAGCTATCAAGGAACTTCCATGCAAAACCAAGAAATCCATGGTTAGTTGTGTTGGGAAGATGTAATAAAGGGGCAAAGTTACTTTCTGATCCCTTTCTATATATGGCTTTGGACTGACTTGTCTTCTTTACGAGCATACTCCAGTCAGGTTCCAATTCAAGGTGCAGGTTCTTACCTACAAAGCCCTTAACAGTTTGGGGCCCGCCTATCTATGTGACCGCATTTCTGTGTACGAACCCACACGATCTCTTCGATCATCTGGAGAGGCCCTGCTTGCGCTCCTGCCTCCCTCGCAGGCACGATTGGTGGGGACGAGGGAGAGGGCCTTCTCGGTGGTGGCCCCCCGACTCTGGAACTCACTGCCAAAGGATATAAAGCATGCCCCAACATTGGCAGTCTTTAGGAGGAGCCTGAAAACGTGGCTATTCCAGTGTGCCTTCCCGGAATAAAGGAATAACTCCCAGCAAAATGTCCTTACAAATGCACTTTAAGCATTGGATTGCGTTGGACTGCGCCCCTCACTTTTTAAAACCCTTCTGATGAGATATATTCTATCTTGTCATACCCAGCGTTATTTTTTAATTTTAAATTATTACATCTGGCCTGGCCATAGGTTTTTAAATCATGTGTGTTATTGTTATATGTGATTTGTATTATTTTGTATTGCTTTGTATTGTTTGTTTATTGCTTTTCTGTTATGATGTGTTGTTGGGCTTGGCCTCATGTAAGCCGCTCCGAGTCCCTTGAGGAGATGGTGGCGGGGTATAAATAAAGTTGTTATTATTATTATTATTATTGACATATAGCTGAAGAGTTTAAAAACCACAAAACCTGGCTCCAAGTAGGTGACCATGAAGTAAATATGCGTGAAGAATATGGTCACTAAGAAATGTTCTTGCACACCTAATTCAAATCTATCTCAAAATCTTTCTTCACGCTTCACCAAAATTGCAGTATTGTCTGTGCACATGATGCAGGCGAATGGAAGAACGGTTACCTTTAATCTGATCTGACTTTTGTCTTCAGAAATATCCAACACTTCAATCAGTGGCGGCTCTTCCTTCGGGACGGTGCTGGAGGGGGAGGGCAGGCTGCTCAGGAACTCATCCACATTGTTTTCAGTGACAAACCACCGTTCCTGAAGAGGAGACAAGAACCTTCATTACTTTAACATTTATTTCCAAATAAAACTTACTTTTGCATAAAGATGAGAAATTTCTAAAATTCTGGAAACATTTTCCTCACAAAAGCCCAGGAAAAATGGACCAACATGGCACTATCATCTTCTATCATGATTATCACAAGTTTTATTTGCTACAAAATTATCAAGTTTTATCCATATTTTAATACACACAGATTATTTCATAGAATCATAGAGTTGGAAGAGACCTCCTGGGCCATCCAGTCCAACCCCATTCTGCCAAGAGGCAGGGATATTGCATTCAAATCACTCCTGACAGATAGCCATCCAGCCTCTGTTTAAACGCAGTGGGAAACTACTAATTTGGAATAAATCTGCAATATAAAGGAAATGTCTATTCTGCCTTGGTTAAACCACATTTGGAATATTGTGTCCAATTCTCGGCACCACAATTGAAGAGAGATTCTGACAAGCTGGAATGTGTCCAGAGGAGGGCGACTAAAATGATCAAGGGTCTGGAGAACAAGCCCTATGAGGAGCGGCTTAAGGAGCTGGGCATGTTTAACCTGAAGAAGAGAAGGCTGAGAGGAGATATGATAGCCATGTATAAATATGTGAGAGGAAGCCACAGGGAGGAGGAGGGAGCAAGCTTGTTTTCTGCTTCCCTGGAGACTAGGACGCAAGGGAAGAAAGAATCATAGAATCATAGAATCAAAGAGTGGGAAGAGACCTCATGGGCCATCCAGTCCAACCCCATTATGCCAAGAAGCAGGAATATTGCATTCAAATCACCCCTGACAGATGGCCATCCAGCCTCTGTTTAAAAGCTTCCAAAGAAGGAGCCTCCACCACACTCCGGGGCAGAGAGTTCCACTGCTGAACGGCTCTCACAGTCAGGAAGTTCTTCCTCATGTTCAGATGGAATCTCCTCTCTTGTAGTTTGAAGCCATTGTTCCCTTGCGTCCTAGTCTCCAGGGAAGCTGTTCTGTCGTGCGCTGGGCTTGAAACGAATTGCTTTTAAAACAGGACGTGCAACTTTAGCCCAGCGGGAAGCCAGGGGGCCCGAAGAGAAATTCGTAAGGATTTTCACCATAAACAGTCTCTAGAGGGCTTGTAAAATATAACAAAGTCTTTTATTGGTGAACAATCAACAGAAACTTCTTTTGTCTTCAAAAGGGTTAAACAAATGCTTCCAGGCTTTTGTGCAACTGGTGGCTTCTAACTGTTACTTTTACTCTAAAGGAAAATCCCTTTCCAAACTTCTCCCAGGCTAACTGTGATCCTAAACCTAACTGATGTGGGCTCCACTACCGGGTTGATCTGCGTCTCAAAGCACCGAGTGGACCTACCAGTAGACCTGTAGTCACTTCAGCTGGAGTTCTTTGATGTTCAAAGCTGTTATTCCCTCCGAAATTCCTCGGGGCTGTAAGGCTGTTTCCCTGGGAACTTGTGGGAATCTTTAGATGCTCTTAAGACTATTCTCCCCCGGGAGGTCTTAAGGGTTGAAGCCTTTGTACAGGAGAAAGTCTGTATATGTCCTGTACATTTACTTTCTTTGCTGAGACTGACTGAAAATGGCTCCCTTCCCTTCTCAATTGTCCTGAACAGGGGGCAGAACCAAACTTAACGATGATGGACAGGGGGCCTGCCTTATAACTGCAAACTTTAACAGGAAGCCACCCTTCTGCAGAATCCCAAGCCTTGGGCTGCAAGCAAACACTTAATACAAAGCAAATAAAGTGGGAGCTTCTGGTACAGCTCTACCAGCACAGAAGCAGAAAACAAGCTTGCTCCCTCCTCCCTGTGACTTCCTCTCACATATTTATACATGGCTATCATATCTCCTCTCATGTAATGAAAAGTTGGAGTGCAATACAAGGGGCTGCGCCAGGACGGAGAAACTTGGCAGGTCCATCCTGCGTGAACCAAGTTTCCCTTCTGCGTGTGAGAAACGTCTCTGAATCCAACTGCACACAGCCTGCCTTGTAGAGCGAAAAGCCTCATGAGTCGGCTGACGCTGATACAAGTCAAACTTCTCTTTCAAATGGGCTGATAAGCTAGAAGAACATGAAAGCGATATGAGTTCGGAATAGGGAAACACAACATTTTGTGGTCTGGCTGCAACATCCCCACCTAAATCCAGGAGGTGCCTAAAACTATGCTTCAGACAGGCAGCCAGAGTTTTCATATGTTTGTCGTAAAACATAAGGTTTACTGTCGAAGGCTTCCATGGCTGGAATCACTGGGTTGTTGTAGGTTTTTCGGGCTATATGGCCATGTTCTGGAAGGATTCTCTCCTGATATTTTGCCTGCATCTATGGCAGGCATCCTCAGAGGTTGTGAGATCTGACAACCTCTGAGGATGCTTGCCATAGATGCAGGCAAAACGTCAGGAGAGAATGCCTCTAGAACATGGCCATATAGCCCAAATAAACCTACAACAACCCAGTGATTCCAGCCATTGAAGCCTTCGACAGTAAACCTTATGTTTTGCAGCAAACATATGAAAGCACACACACCACGTACACATAACCGCCTCGAATCGCCGGAAGTTTGAGAGGGGCGGTATACAAATATAGTAAATAAATAAATAAGGAACATGTCCATTGACATTTCCTGTATATTGAGCAAGCACTTCCAACCCATAATTTTCAAACGTCTTTAAAAATAAATAAAAGTGGGGTTTATAAAAGTTCCTCTGGGAAGCACTTTGCTACGAAGTGTTTTGTGTCTGATATCCAATATAGGGCAATCCACCTCCCTTTGGGTTTTACTCAACGTTTCACTTTTGCGTTACTCTGTCTCTGCTGCGTTTGTCGTCTCGCTGAACGCACATCAAATAAAGATGATTCATAAAGCACGCTGTCACTTCAAGGCAAGCGTGTGCCCGTTGTAACATGACAACCAGCTCCTGCTACCGCTTTTGCAATGCAAACCAGACACGTTTGATGCCTTTATCAATAGGACCCAGTGCCAGGTTGTTCGAAGCGCAAGCCTCGCTCAAGGAGACTGCAGGCGCCTGCAAAGTAGGTCATGCGCTGGATCTCAAATTAAGGCAGGCTCCATTAACGATGAAATGGAAGGAAAAGGTTCAAAAGGAAGTTAAATCTGCAAATCTTAGAGGCTTCCCGGTTTTTGCAGAAGAGATCAAAGTCAGCATCTCCATCGCAAGGCAGGATGAAAGTCTTCAGGATGGGAGAGAAGCTCCCTTGAAGGAAGGAAAAAAGAAAGCCCCAGAATGGGTTTCTATAGCTTAGCGGGAAGGTTACTAATCTCTCTGGCACAGGCTTCCTCATTATGAAAAATGGCACATGACACTTAGATAAGAACAACAGGAAGAAAAACGACAGTACTCATCATCACCAGTTAGTAAAGGTTTTAATGAAAATACATTATCTCAAAATATGTTTTTTTCTGTCCTTTATTTTAGCTTTTGTGAGATACTAAAATGTCCAAATGCCTAAAACTGTAAAGACAATCCTGGTACAGTTTGGGGTCCCATTTTCACGTGCAATGCTCTATTACAGTGGTTCTCAACCTTCTTAATGCCGTGACCCCTTCATACAGCTCCTCTTGTTGCGGTGACCCCCAAACATAAAATTACTCACATCACTACCTCTGAGGATGCTTGCCATAGATGCAGGTGAAACGTCAGGAGAGAATGCCTCTAGAGCATGGCCATATAGCCCGAAAAAACCTATAACAACCCAGTGATTCCGGCCATGAAAGCCTTTGACAATACATTATTTCTGTTGCTAATTCATAACTGTAATTTTGCTGCTGTTATTAATCATAATGCAAATATCCAATATGCAGGATGTATTTTCATTCACTGGACCAAATTTGGCAAAAATACCCAGTAAACCTAAATTTGAATACTGGTGGGGTTGGTGGGGGGATTGATTTTATCATTTGGGGATTGCAGTTGCTGAGATTTATAGTTCACCTACAATCAAAGAGCATTCTGAACTCCACCAACGATGGAATCGTTGGTGACACACAGAACTCCCATGACCAACAGAAAAAATTGGGAGGGATTGGTGGGCACTGACTTGGAGTTTGGGAGTTGTAGTTCACCTACATTTGTCAGGGGGCGGCTAGTCAAGAAATAGTTTTCTAAGATCTACAGAGATACTCGCAGGTGCACCTCAGCAAGCGAGAGTCCAAAAGTAGCAGGCTAAAACCCGGAACCTCAATCAGTGGCTGAAACCAGATGAGAGGCTCCCTCCTGGGCACAAAGAAGACAGGGCCATTTGGAAGGTGCTGAACAGACTGTGCTCTCGCACCACGAGATGCAGAGCCAACCTTAAGAAATGAGGCCACAAAGTGGAATCCACAACATGCAAGTGTGGAGAAGAGCAAACCAAAGACCATCTACTACAATGCAACCTGAGCCCTGCCACATGCACAATGGGGGACCTTCTCACAGCAACACCAGAGGAACTCCAAATGGACAGCTTCTAGTCAAAGGACATTTAGTATGGGTTGCTGTAAGTTTTTTGGGATGTATGGTCATGTCCCAAAAGCATTGTCTCCTGACATTTCGCCTGCATCTGTGGCAGGCATCCTCAGAGGTTTTCTCTCATCCTTTAGTGAAGGTTAACCCCACTGTTCACCCCTTCTGAGTTCTCCCCTCAGATACATTTTACCCCATTTACTTGTCTCACCCAGGGTTTTTATCAATTTTATCCTGTACATTTGGCCCGCACATTGTGCTTTTATTCCTCCACTTTGTTATGTTGCGTTTGTTTACTGTGTTTTCTGTTATTTTCTGTATTTTACTTTGATGTTATTATTTGCTTGTTTGTATATTACTTTGCTATATTGTAATTTTGGGCTTGGCCTCATGTTAGCTGCCTCGAGTCCCCTTCGGAGAGATGTGGCAGGGTATAAATAAAGTATTATTATTATTATTATTATTATTATTATTGTGAGGATGCCTGCCACAGATGCAGGTGAAATGTCAGGAGAGAATGCTTCTGGAACATGGCCATACA